GGAATTTACATTATTTGAGTTAAAAAAAGCATTGGCAGAAAGTAAGAAAACCTCCCCTGGAAAAGATGAAATTTGTAACGAAATGATTAAGCATTTATCAGATAATTCATTATGCATAATACTAAAATTATTTAATAAAGTATGGGAGTCAGGGATTTTACCAGCAGAGTGGAAACACGGTGTCATAATACCAATTGCAAAACCAGGTAAGGATCAGTCACAACCAAATAACTACAGACCCATAGCATTAACTTCTAATATATGTAAATTAATGGAACGCATGGTAATGAGCAGACTGGTTTATGCTATCGAAAAAGAAAACTTTTTTGCCGCATACCAAAGTGGTTTCAGGAAGGGACGTAATACAATGGATTCAGTGATTTGTTTGGAATCAGAAATAAGAAAGGCACAAGTAAATAAGGAAGTGTTGGTGGGAGTATTTTTCGATATTGAAAAAGCATACGACATGATGTGGAGAGAAGGACTTTTAATTAAATTAGAAAAAATGGAAATTAATGGAAAAATGTATAACTGGATCAAGAATTTTTTGTTAAAAAGAACAATACAAGTTAGAGTGGGTTCTGCATTCTCCCAAATATATAAGGTAGAGAACGGAACACCACAAGGGAGTGTTAGCAGCCCTATCCTATTTAATATCATGATAAATGACATCTTTTCAAAAATGGAGTTGGGGATCGGGAGATCTTTATATGCAGATGATGGTGCGCTATGGAAGAGGGGAAGAAATGTAGTTCATGTATGAGTGGGGGTTTAGATTTTCTACTGATAAAACTCAGGTTATTTGTTTTTCAAAAAAGAAAATTAATCCAAATATAAATATTAATATATACAGACAAAAAATAGAACAGGTATCAGTAATTAGATATTTAGGAATGTGGATGGATGTAAAACTGAATTTTAATATGCATATTCAAAAAATAATAGATAAATGTAAAAAAGGAATTAATGTAATGAGGTGTTTGGCAGGAGCTGAATGGGGTGCATGTCGTTTCTCGCTTAAAAGAATCTATAATGCACTGGTAAGATCTACTATAGATTATGGATGCGTAGTATATAGTTCCGCAGCTAAAACTCAGTTGTTGAAAATAGATGCGATTCAATCTCAGGCACTAAGAATATGCTGTGGAGCACTAAGAACTACACCCATTATAGCATTACAAGTAGAGATGGGGGAAATGCCTCTAAAAATTAGAAGAATTAAGTTAAAAATGAGATATTGGGTTAGCATTAAAAGTCAAGAAGAGAGGCACCCAGTAAAGACAGTACTAAAGGAATGTTGGGAATATGGACATAAAAAGATAGATAGTTTTGGTTGGACAGTAAAAGACGAGGCTCAAAATATGGGCATAAGAGACATCAATTTAGCCCCTGCTGTGCCAACCTCTGCGATTCCGCCTTGGCTTTTCCATAAGCCAGTAGTCGATTTATTACTACATGAGGAAAAACACAAAAATAATATGTTAAATGAAAAAGAAATACAACAATACATAAATCAGTCATATTTCAATTATTTACAGATATATACAGATGGGTCAAAAGATCCTAAAGATGAAAAAACGGCAGTAGCAGTTTACATCCCAAAATTCAATATTAAAATATCAAAAAGAATAACGGACCGACTTTCTGTGTACACTACAGAAATTGTAGCTATACTTCTTGCTCTTCAGTGGATAGAAGACGTGAAACCATTAAGATCAGTAATATGCTCAGATTCTCTGTCAGTACTAAACAACTTAATTACTGGAACATCTAAGGCAAGACAGGACATAATGAATGAGATAATGCAAAATTTATTCAGAATCAGACAGGGTGGACTTTTTGTAAGCTTCTTGTGGATTCCTGGTCATATGGGAGTAGTAGGTAATGAAGAGGCAGACCAACTTGCAAAGGAAGCATTACAACATACTCAGATAGAAATAAAAATAAAAATAAGTAAGTCAGAGGTAAAAAACATAATTGCAAAAGAAACAGGTAGAATGTGGCAAAGGGAGTGGGATAATGGAGAAAAAGGCAGACATATGCATAATATTCAAGGATTTGTGGGTGGTACTAGAAATAAGTTTGGTAATAGAAGGAATGATGTGGTAATAACTAGGTTGCGTGCTGGTCATTGTTTGCTAAACCAGTATAAGTTCAGAATAGGGAAGCACGAGACAGGATGTTGTGATAAATGCGGGAAAATAGAAACATTAGAACATGTAATTACAGAATGTGTGGCATATGACAATCAGAGATATCAGTTAGTTCAAGGATTAAGTATTTATGGGATTAAAAATTTGTCATTTCAGACCCTATTAGGAAACAGTTCAAATCAAGTTGAAATAATAATGCAATTAATTAATTACTTAAAGGAAACAAAATTGATTAATAGAATTTAAGAATAGCTTAGCAAAATAAGGAAATAAAATTTACTATGATTTTTAACTAGTATTTTTTTCTCTTTCTTTCTCTCCTCTCCTCCTACTGTTATTACTGTTCTCTCTTCCCTATGGTAATCTCATCCCTCCATTCGTATCATATATCTTTAGTACTCATGCTTTTTCCAACATTATGCGCTCCACACTCCTATCCAGTAGGTGGCGGAAATGCACCATTTAAGTTGGTCTGCCAACCGCCATTAACCCCATAAGAAGAAGAAGAAGAAGAGCTTTCTCTCTCTCTCCACGGCCTACCTAGGCGTTTCTCTCTTCACATCGCCAGTGTGAAGTTCTCCGTGCTGGATTAAAGATCTTCATCTTCAACTGAGCGAGGTATCAACAACAAAAGACCGTCATTTGACGTGTCACCTCTCGAGAGGGTTTACTTCCATGAGTGTTTACACGGAGCAGTGAGTGGTCTCCGTGCTAGTGATGATGATGATGATGTACATGTTAGCTCATGTAGCTGTCATGATAGGAGATACGACTGTCAGTGCTCAGTTTATTATAACGCTTGTAAACAGCCCCGATCAAGCGAAAGTAGTTTAACTCGTCAAACGTAAAGTTGTCAGGTGTGTTACGTCAGAGTGTACATGGTATGTCGCAGTTGTTGTTTGTTTAGTTAACGTAACAGAGTTATTTTAAAAGGCAGGCTAACCAGGTGTTTTGGCTTGGTGATGAGGCTTTCACTAACACTGCTGTACGGTACAATTTATCTATTTATTGTAATGAGTTGTAATCTGCCTTGTTGATGTCCTGAGTTTATTAAAGGCTAATCCTCGGAGGTACAGTATTTGGGCTGAAGTGCAGACTAAAGCCGGTTAACTTGCTCAGAACTGAGTCTTTCACAGAAGTGCGTGTGGAATTGCAGTTACACTGTTGTTTATACGAGTGCTCGAGTCTCTGTTATGACAGGTCGAGTTACCCAACATGTGCGGACAATTATGAGTGTGACAGCAGAGTCACTGCGACGTGTCTGTTTTCATGAATGGTATTGTGTGGCTCTTTCGTGTCAGACAAACGTTTTCAGTAGCTCTAATCGGGTTTTTATCTCTCTCTTGCTAGCAGCAGGTTTAAAAACATGGACTGGTGTTACGGAGTTGGACTGCAGGATTTCTTTTCTTAGTTGACCCTGGGTCATTTTAAATCCTGGGTTTGGGGAATCCTAGGCTTCATTGTTTATACTTTTACACGAGTAAGTTAGCAGTCAATCCTGGGAGTTTATAAACTGTAGTTTCACTTTTTGCATGATTAAAAACTGGGTTAATGCCCCTTTATATTTGTTGCAGTAGGATTTTCCTTGATAGAAAAAAAACCCTAACAGAGACTTGTTTATTAAGCACTCTAGCATTGTACATCCTGGTATCGTTCATAAAGTGATGGCCACGTATGGTAATCCATACTCGTTATCTATTTTTCCTCTGCCTTTATCCTATTCAAGTTAGTGCCCTCACAGCAGTGGGGAGATATGTTTGATGTAGCATCAGACTCTTTACCAATTTGGGCACATTTCCCCCCTCAAACATTTAAACATTAATGCTGTGCATGTTGTTTGGTTATCTGCCCCAAACAATTTAAATGAGGCAAATGATTGACTGTTGGTTGTTTTGCTATAACATTTTAACACAGCGTTGTTTTACATTGCATGTTTGGCACCTCAGCGTGGGCTAAACACTGCAAAAGTGGTACTAACAGCCCTGAAATGTAACTTTACTTGAAGTTACTGTAAAAGTGGCTTTGAGAGTGGTGATGGTGATAACCCACAATTCAACATTTAGTGTGACAAGCAGGGCGCCTCTTGTCATTACATGAAGTGACTGATGTGAAAATAGAAATAATATTTTCAGTAATGTTGTTGTTCAGTAAAGCTCATGCTTAGTGTAAATGCTGTCTATTTTCTGAATACATATTATATATCTTATTGTAAAATTATTTTTAATCAAAGCCATAACTCAGTCAAAACACTTCTCTAACCATTTAGGCCGTACTCACACTAGGTACAGTTCCCTCGAACCGGGCCAAAGCACGCTTGTCCCCCCTCCCGTCTCCCCCGATGGCCCGCACTCACACCATAAACGGGCCTCGGCACGCTTACGTCATCGCTGCTGCGCTGTTCAGTGAGAAGCGCTCTCTCACTCAGCAGCACAGTGGAGATTCCTCTAGTTATATCATTTCAGTCGTTTGTTATGCAGTGACATGCAGTCAAATATTTTGCCAAACAGTTCTTAGGGATGCGGTGACACGCAGTCAGATATTTCGCCGAACAGATCCGCCACTTTTGGCGCTCATAAACAATCATAAAGCTCTCGTGCTGCAGGAAAAGGAGGTCTGCTGAAGCTGCGCAGCTGTCGTGCAGTGAGGAGTTCGCGTCTTTAATAAACTACAGCAGTTTGCGTTCACTGAACAGTAAGAATGATTAATAAATCCATATGAAACAGCCCCTTAAAAGTCACGTCTCGCTTTCACTTTCGGGCTTTGGCGCATTTTGCACTCACACACAAGCGTACCGTGCCAAAGCCCAAGTGAACCGCGCTCAGGCACACCTCTTCCAACCGGGCCAGGGCCGGCCAAGTGAACTGTGCTTGAGCCCGATTCAGCGCACTCACACTTCTCAAACGATCCGGGAAACGGGCCTGGGCACGGTACGGATGGCATAGTGTGAGTAGGCCCTTAGTCTCATTAAACGTTTACCTGCAGGTTCATCTATCTCTGCTTTTGAGAGCAACGTCAACATCTCACTAAATCCATAGAACCTCCTCTACATTTTCCCTGTTCTGATCATCTGTTAAATTCAGAGGTACACTTGTCATCTGCCAGATTATTAGTTGCACCTTGGTGCACCCAATAAATTTTGCCTATAGATCTATTTAAATTCTTCACTGCCTGTGCTAAAAACATGTCCCCTGCACGATTACATCTCCAGCAGCCTGAGCCATTGATATATGGCAAGATAGATCAATGTTTTCATGTTCATAGCAAAGTCTGACCCTACCATCTGAAAATTACAGCATATTTCAGAAATTAGACCAGGCAACCTTTTGTCTTCTATTGTCCAATTTTGCTGAGCCTGTGTATATTGTAGTTCATTTTCTGTAAAATCCCAGAAGATCAGCAGTTTCTGACATGCTCCAACATATCTGCCACCAACAACCTGTTTAAAAGTCATATTTCTTTCACTTCTCTCATACTTATTTTAAAGGGGTGGTCAACAGTATATTTTTAAGGCATAATTGTGTTTATAAGATGTAAAGCAATATGTGCTTATGCTTTACTTGTAGAAAATCATGTTATTTTTTCATATATCTTACTTTAATTATACAGCTACTCAGCTAACATAAAAATGACTGTCATATTTTCTAGTTCCTCTGAAAGCTCTGATTGATCAGCTAACACAATGTGCTGTGATTCACGGATTGGCTCCACATCACCATGTCACACCCCTACAAGCACGTGCTTTTGTTGTTTTTGTCAGAACAGCTGTTTGCAGCGTTAGCTGCCTGAATCAGAATAAAAATAATTAAGAGCGCACAGCTGAACCTCATGCCTGCTGTCTAAAATAAAATCTGATGAAGTGTCTTTCACAAATATTGAGATTATAAGCATGTGTAAGTAATATAAAATGTTCACATCTTTTGTGAATTTGTTATTTGAAATGTAAAATGCACGGAAAGTAGACGCATAGAGAATGTGTGTAATAATGTACACACTGGTGACGATTGTGGGTGTTTACAGCAGTCTGACAGATAAATATGAATTTGTAGCTAAATTGTTAACTGTGCCAAGAAGCATTTCCCTTTGTTTACAACCTTGTGTACAACATACATTAACGCTAGAAACTGTGCATGTAGTTGATCAACTTTAACAAATAAAAATACTTACAGGTTGTAGCTCGCAATCCACAGCTTCGTTGGTTGGAGGAGTTTTAGACGAATCTAGCACTAAACTGGGAGACATTCTGGAAGCTGTCCTTTGTCAAATGCTGGCTATATATTTTTATAATTCTCTGGAACAAATTTAAAATTAAACTGTAAGCACTTCTCTCTTTGTGTTGTGTCCTTTGGAAGGCCAAGTACAAAAACAGAACAACCTGTCGAAATAGAAGTGTTTGGACGACATTTCAGCTTTCTCTGCTATAACATAACAGCGCCTATGGCCACACCTTTCACTGTGCCGGGTGTGTGTGCGGTGAATTCACTAACCAGAAGCCCTTGGGATCTCACTAGCCCAGACGTTTTGTTTTTTTTGCAGTCCCCAAACTTTGTTCACTGTAGGCTTTGCTAAGCTATCTCTGTGAAAACCAATGTCTCCCTTTGAATTGAACTTTGAGCGTCTTACATTCAGATATGTTGTTTATGTTCACACAGCTACATTACACATGAACTGAAGTTTAAAATAATATCCTAGTGGACCACCCCTTTAAAGTTAAGAAAAAAACTTTTGTCACCCCTTATGTTTCATTGAGAGGTTATTAGATGTTATTATAAACAGATTACCAGCAGGACCCAGCATTTAACATCATAACTTAAAGTAGCAAGTTTTTTTATTTTATTTTTTTCAAATATGTTGAAATATAAATTTTTGCCATCATAAAAGTTTATTTACAGTTGTGGAGAAAGTTATGACTTTACCAGAAGGATGACAAAATATTGATATATTGTGCATAGAGATTACAGTCCACTCATCATTTATAGCCTACTCATCTTTTCTCTTTAGCTCGTTGCTTTGCTGATTTTGCATATTTCAGCAGCAATTTCGTTAATTTTAGTACATAAGAAGAAGTTCTTTGTTGAGGGTGCAACCCAACTGTACCAAGTTGCCTCGCATTATGATTCTGTAACCTATGTTTAGTTGGGATTTCTTCCTCTTAACTCTCATGACAAATTTAGAGGAAGCTTGTAGAGAATTGGAAAACACTACTTCCTGAAACGAGCTGAACATAAACCTTAACCTCTATCTGCGTTTGAAACATTCAAGCAGAACATTGTGATGAAACAAACTGCAGAGTCAAGAGTAAATTATTCCAAGGGTCATGAACTAGCTTTTATATTGTTTTATTCTGTTGTCTGAGGTTTACTTATGATGTTTGATGTGTGCATCAGAGTCTCCGACAAGCGTACAGACCATCTCTTTAAATAACTCAAATGTTAGATAATTTTGATGTTATAGATGAAACTGAAAGTAAGAGATCTTTAAAACTTTAGTTTTCTTTAGGTAAGATTTTTAGTTTTTTCTAACATCTCATTAAATGTGAAGTGCATCACTTAATTATAACTACAGTACTTCTTAACATGTTTCTTCTTTGTTTTTAAAAGTATTCCCATGTACTGTAGGCACTTTCATTCTGTTCATTTCATATACATAATTTAATTATATAATTTAACAGTTCAAGCTGCTGTTATTTGCACAAGTAAAAAATCCATAGCCTACTTGTCGTCCTGTGAGCTCTTAATTAATAATAAATATGAAATATTGAATTAAATTGAAATAATATTTTAATAGTCAAACACAGTCAGTGTTTGTAAATTTAGTTTAATCAGTTTGCAGATAAATGGGGATAAGCACTCTGTTCATCTGTTCACTTTAGAGATGAATGACGATCAATTCACATGGGGTGTCAGAGTCAATGCATCCCATTTACCTTGAATGGATAATGTCAATCGTTGCCGCACTGAATTGCCGCCCTGCTTCAGTGGCATTGCTCGCTGCAGAAGTTGGGAATGTCTTAACTTTTCAAGCGCCAGTGGAAGCGTCAGCCAATCAGATCACTTTATGCAAATACCCCAGCTCAGAAAGTAGTCACTTGTGGTTTAATTGCATTGGCTGATGCAGCTGTGATGATCACCTCAGTGCCAAGCTTCAGACATGCCCTCTGTCAAGCGTAAATGCTCATGCTCCAGGTGTAAATCTATTCCATAACATACTCGTCCAGTGAGCTCTTATTCAATAATGCATGTGAAGTTTGAATACAAATTAAAAATATTAAATGTCTTATCATTTTAAAATGATAAATAAAAACACGCATAACTGGCAAAAAGATTACAGTAGATTTTTTACAACCATCTCCCTCATTTGTATCCACAAAACAGTGACTGAACAGTAATTTCCAATCTCCAACAACATTTTATTGCTCCTATGTAGCATATTGTTATGCTCGAAATAGTGCATGCAGCTTACAATCATGCACTCATATTATTTAACCTACCTATGACATCATAAACGGGTATATTCTACGCCCTGATGTTTTCTGGACCAGCTGTCAATTTACAGCTTATTTCAGGAACTAAGGACAATTTCAGGGCTGAAACTGACAGGATAGTCTTGTAGTATGATAATCTCTCACATATCAAAATCTCGAGTAAAATTTCATGTTTTAGTTTATGACCCCTTTAAAACTTCTTCGGCAATGAAGGTGTCTGAACAATGGCCTGTTATTTTCCTAACGGTTGTTCATTCTCACTATCCAGCTATCATATCTGCCCGCACATGACCTGACTCTTGATCGGGCAGATGTAGAGCAAACTGGTTTACAGGACAAAGGTAGCAGCCCACTGATAAGTGCAGAACATTGGACATTGAAAGAAGCTTTTCGTTGGTTAACTTCAGGTCACATTCCGTGTAATTTTAGTGTTTCATTTTAATAAAAACCTATAAATTAAACAAAGTGGAACTGAAACAATGACACGATTCTTTCTCCAGTTTACAATTGATCTACTGTCTTATCTTACAGCTGATAGGATGTGCGCTGATTAACATGCAGTTGTTTTTCCATTAGCAACATCTGTATCTTCAGATTTTTTTGTATTGTTTTAACTTTCCAGCTTAAATGGTAGAAAATGATTGTTCAGAAAGTGCATTCTTGTTTTGGATCTGCTTGAAATGATCTTTATGGGTGCAGTTTTAATTGTATTTGTTTTATTTTTCAAAGCTTTATATGGTTGGTGACATAACCTGGACTTTGGTCTGTTCCTGGCGTAGCTGTAACAGCACAGCAGGATGACTCAACTTCAGGGTCATCTCCAGCTTCGCTTTATCCTGACTGACTATTGAAGCACATATTTATATGATGTCTTGTGATGAAACTCCCATAATTACTTATTTGTAATTCAACAAACACATAAACAACATCCAAGCTATGCAGAATGTCATGGTTTGCTTTCTGTAAGTGACCTCTTTGTGTTTTATTAAGATGTTTTTTTTTTAATGCATCGCTGCGGTGATTCTGAAACCTTCCATAGTAAATTCCAAGATGTGTGAAAGATGTGTTATGGGAAGACACGCTTACAAGTGGAATAGGCTCGAGCTCAGGCCTCAGTGGGGATTTCACAGCCATGTGAACGACCGATAGTAACCTCTCATATGCCCTCTTGCTCTCTTTCTCTCCCTCCTTTTTCCTTCTTTTCCTCTCTGACTCGATCACCCACCTTTTTGTCTGTCAGTCTTTCCATTGGCTTGTTTTCTCTCCTTCTTTCTTGTTTGTGTAAACTCCATTTTAACGGTTCAGCTTAGATGCTACACAACTTTCAAACAGAAGTCATACTGTTGTCTTTTTCCCTTTCTTTCTTTTGCCATCAACCAGAAAGTTGTGACACAGAAGAGGCTATTATAAGGAGAGAAGTTTCATCTAATGGCATCCAGGCTATTGGAGAGGATAAACAAGATGTGCTGCTAGTGACACAGACAACAACAACATGGACAGACAATAACAAATCGTCACTCTAGGGGTAAGTGGGCCTCTCACTCACAATAACACATTTGAACGTATTTTTTAAAATGTATTTAGTGTGACTGATGCTGATATTCCAGATGTTACACTCAAAACATTACTTGCTGCTTGTTCAGATTACTTATTTAAAATTAATCAACACAATTTTTAAGGTTTTTGGGGGGACAACGTAATAGTTTTATGTTCAATATACTTTTGTATAAATAATTAGTTAACTTAAACAATTTGTGTTTGGATAACAGGAGGGAATTGTGTGCCTTTTTTTTTTTTTGCAGTGTAGGGTGTGTATTAGCGTTGCACGATATTGAAAAAAATCAGACATTGCGATATTTTGTTTTGCTGCATTAAATATTGCCATATGAGTATAATTTTACCAAATGATTTGAATAGCTCTATTTGGAAAGGTTTCATTCATTTAGATTGACTGTGATGATCAAGTCTTATTCTACGTGGTGCATCTGCATAAATTATAATAAATTACAAGCAAAAATAAATAAATAGACAGTGCTTTATGCTTTTCTGGGAAGTCTAACAGTATTCAAGTACAGAAATTGAACAATCAAATGTAAAATAACCATGATCATTATTGTATAAATGATAAAAAAATGACAATATTTAATAATATCTTCATCTTTTCTTCTTTAATAAATCGTATAACCCTGCGATGTGACTATTGCCGATATATACATCAACATGTTTATGCTCAAACTATATATTGTTCAGCCTATGCTTTTTGTATCAGCCTAATACATTTAAAAATTTTACGACCAATATTATAAATTTTCTATGGCGAAAGAAAGAAAGAAAGAAAGAAAGAAAGAAAGAAAGAAAGAAAGAAAGAAAGAAAGAAAGAAAAAAAAAGAAAAAACAAATGGTGCTTTATGGTTTTCTGGGGAGTCTAACAGTATTCAAGTACAGAAATTGAACAATTAAATGTAAAATATCATGGTTATTATTGTATAAATAATAAAAAAATAACAATATTTAATAATATCTTCATCTTTTTCTCTTTAATAAATCATATAATCCTGCCATGTGACTATTACGGATATACAGATTACTATATCATTGCTTAGCCTCAAATGATATATTGTTCAGCCCTAGTGTTTATGTTTTTTGAATCAGCCTAATTTATTCATGATTTTTGTCTTATGTTATGACCAATATAATAAATCTACTACTGCTAAATAAATAAATAAATACTGTATAGAGTTTGCTACAATTGAATCCATCTGAATCAAAAAAGTTCTCCTAATAATACATTAAGGCCATCTGGACTCTGGTTAGAAAGGTAATAGTTGGATATTTTATGAAAATGTGGCTTAATGTGATATCACAGTTAATTTCTTCATGTTGTCTGTCACCTAAATTAGTCTGTATACCTATATTAGTATAAGAAAATAAACTATAGCATAAACCAGTGGTTCCCAACCTGGGGTCCGCGCCCCCCTAAGGGGGGCGCCAGAGTTCACAGGGGGGGTGCGGGAGAGGATAAGTATTGAGGTAGAAAAAGGCATAAAAATGGTCCACTATTATAAAGGGCTTTGCAATTAATCGAAAATCCGATTTAGATTTCGGTTTCAAACGATTATAAAAAAGCATTAATCGAGATAAATGATTATTGCATCATATTTCGCCACAGTTGTACACGTGTTGCTCTTAAAAGCGCGAAAGAGCTTATGTGTGTGTGCAGCACGATCACGCAGTCAGAAGCATGCGGCCGGTCAGCATTCGGTCTCATTCGCTCACTGAGACGAGCAGCGGAGCGCAGACATCAAAAGTCATCTTAACGTGAACGCTTTAATGGTCAAATAGGTGTCAAAACGCGGTGTTTAGTTATTATTTACATTAACCCTCATTTGTGTAATAAACAAACGAGTTGAGGATCAAAAGACGTGAAAGAGAAACCATTAAAGATACAGCGCGCTATAATCCTTCTGCTGCCTGTTTTTATCATTATTAAACCAACATAACGAGAAAACCCTCGCTGCTCTTGACTGAAGGACTGCTGTAGCTAAAGTGTTTTTCTTACAGTGAAGATGCTTAAATCACAGTTTGTTTCATATTTTTATTCTATTGTTTTTATTTCTCTTTCCTTTGCAGGGTGGAAAATAACTATGTATACAGTTGAAGTCAGAATTATTAGCCCTCTTGAATATTAGCAAACCTTTTCCTGCCCAATTTCTGTTTCATGGAAAGAATATTTTATTAACTTATTTCTGAACATAATAGTTTTGATATCTCATTTCTAATTACTGATTTCTTTTTGTCTTTGCTATAATGACAGCACATAATATTTTACTAGATATTTTTCAAAATACAAGCATTCAGATTAAAGTGCAGTTCAAAGGCTTAATTAGAGTAATAAGGCAAGTCATTATAACGGTAGTTTATTCTGCAGACAATCAAAAATATATATTGCTTAAGGGGGCTAATAATATTAACCTTAAATTGGTTTCAAAATATTTAAACCTGTCTTTATTCTAGCTAAAATAAAACAAATAGAAGAAAAATATTATAGGAAATACTGTTAAAATTCCTTGCTCTGTTAAACATAATTTGGGAAATATTTATAAAAAAAAAAATCCCAGGAGCGCTAATAATTTTGACTTTAACTGGCAATGGTTTTGAATAATCGTGATTACAATTATGACCAAAATAATCGTGATTATGATTTTTCCCAAAATCGAGCAGCCCAAAAAAATAAAAATAAAAAATCTAAACACATGCTTAAAATTCCAACATAATAGTGAAAATAATTAAAATAAATAACTTTAAATAATTATTTAAATTTTGCTCACTCGCGCAATCTGCTTGTCAACGTGTCGTAAAGGCAAAATCAAAACAAAAATGGCAGAGAAACGTAAATGCAGTGATTCTTCAGAGGCGAAGAAAAAGATTAGACAGGATGACAAAGCCTACCTAAATTTTGGTTTTATTGAAGGCCAAGACAAGTTAAAACTGATTAATTAATATTTTCTATACATATTACTATATATTAATATTACACAAACACACACACACACACACACACACACACACACACACACACACACACACACACACACACACACACACACACACACACATATATATATATATATATATATATATATATATATATATATATATATATATATATGTGTGTGTGTGTGTGTGTGTGTGTGTGTGTGGGGGGGGGGGGGGGGGGGGCGTGCGTGCGTGCGTGCGTGTGTATTTATATGGTGGGGGGGCTCCAATGTTTGTATATGTTTATGGGGGGGGCCCCAAAGAAAAAGGTTGGGAACCACTGGCATAAACAGAACAAAAAAAGTACAAAGACTATTTCACAATACACAAACAGTCCGATACAACATAATACAATATCATTCAAAAAGCACGAAAGAGAAAAAAAGAATAAAATATAAAAAATAAATTATTTACAGAGAAATGTGTAGTCTCCACAACTCGACAAATGCCAAACCAATCCCACCTAGTTACAAGTCAACAGTACTAATATAAAACATAATTGAGTTCCAGATTTAAAAAATATGTTTAGTTTGTTTGCCATTCCATATCACAGTTCTTCCATGGGCAACACTTAACTTAAGCTCTTAATCCAGGTTTCAAAGACGGGCACGTAATCTGACTTCCAATTTTGTAAAATTATTTTCTTTGCTAATATCATACACAAAAATACTGCCTGTGATTTATCTCCTATTTCTGAGGTGTCTCCAAAAATGCCCATTTTTGGCTCTGGTGACAGATCAATCCTGTATACTTCAGATATTAAATTAAAAACGTTCTGCCAAAATGAACTAATTTTATGGGGTCTGTCAATTTAAGTTAATAGCATTGGTCTCATCCACTAAATGTGCATGTCCACATATTTGTGAAATCTTTTGGCAAATCTTGTCATGAACACATTGTTTTGGCAATAACATTCATACAAAAATGTATCCTTAATAATTTACAATATTACTATTTATTTATTTGATTAATTCTCATTTAAAAAGGAAGAAAATGTAGAAATGAATGAACTTCTATAAAATAAACTACACAAAACATGTATACTCTGGATAGCCATTTTATCTAATTTCTACATTACATATCCACAATATTATTATATATAATGTATGTGTATTGACAATAAAATGTATACTTCATCACATACCGTGAAAGGGTAAGAAGTGCTACTTTAAAGCTTGAGCTGCAAGCTTTTTTTGTTTTGCCACAATAAATATTGTAATATGAGTATATTTTCACCAAATGATTTGATCATTTAATCCTGCAATGTGACTATTGTGGATACACACATTTACCATATCAGTGCTCAATTGATATATTGTTCAGCCCTAGTGTGTATGCTTTTTGTATCAGCCTAATTCATTCATGATTTTTGTCTTATGTTATGACCAATATTATAAATCTGTCTTGTAATATTGTAAAAATTAAAGCTAACTAGCTAAATAAATAAACAAACACTTTCTGCAGTTTGCTATAACTGAAAAAAATTGAATCAGAAAAGTTCTCTTAATAATACATTAAGGCCATCTGGACTCTGGTTAGAGAGTTAATAGTTGGATATTTTATAAAAATGTGTCTTAATGTGATATTATAGGTATTTTCTTCATGTTGTCTGTCACCTAAATAAATTTCATGAGGAGCGGAAATGGCCTGTCAGTTTAAGTTAATAGCACTGGGTCTGCTTACAAATCTTCCCACAAAGACATTGTTTTACTAAAAATGTTTATACTAAAATGTATTCTTAATAATTTGTAATATTTTTTCAATTATTTCTTAATTTAAAAAAAAGGTAGAAATGAGTGAATTTATATACAAATAGACTATACAAAACATGCATACTCTGAGTAACCTTATAATTGTGTTAAAATGATATTTAATCTAATCTCTATATTATATATCCACAATATTATTATATAGAATTTATGTGTATTGAAGAGAAAAGGTAGACTTCATCATCACATATAGTGAAAGAGTAAGAAATACTACTTTAATGCTTGAGCTGCAAGCTGAACCGATACTGATTGAATACTCTGTAGGCAGAAAATAATTGTGTGAAATCTGTGCGTTCAAATGTATAGTAATTAACATAATATTTATTGAGAGAGAACTATTGTTTGTTAAAGTAGTTCATCTTAAACCTCCTGCTTTTTTCCTAGTAGTAGTTTTTGCTGAAATGATCATAATGTAGAATTGAATCTGCAAGTTTTGATTCATTAATATGTCAGGGTCATATTTACCCTTGTGGACTGCCCACACAGAGGTCACTGCCAACCAATTTTTTTTTTTTTTTTGCATGGTCAAACTTTAACTTATGCTAAACTCACTTGTACCAAAGTATCCTTCCCCAAATCACTTGTTTCCCACTGTTAGTTCTCACAGCTACACCCATAAGTGACCAGTCTTGACCAGTTTATTTTTTGCATTTTCAATTCCTGTTCTCAAGTAGGTTGTTCATAAAGTGTGCTTAGCCTGGCAAAAAACTCACATTTGTGGATATTTCTCAGTTTCTTTTCTTTTCCCTTCTTTTTTTTTTTTTTTTTTTTTGCTGTGCACAGTTTAGCAGTTTAGAAAAAAATTCCCATGATCTGAAAGGGTGACTATGTAGTTTTTTTGTTGTGAGCTTTCCATACAGAAGTGTGACTGCTTAAGGAACTACAATGACATTCATGAGTGAAAATGAACATTGTGTGCATTTGGTCTCGAGCGATGATAGTGAGAGTTCTGCTCATATTACAGGTTCTTTAGCCTGATTTGAACACTCTTGTTGTTCAACTCTGTATGTATATTTAATTTAGTATTAAAGTGTATTTAAAGCTAGCATCAGTTTGAGGCCATTTTGACCGAATATTATAAATAGAGTCTTTGAGTTAGATTTTTCTGTAGGACTTCAGGTTTGCCTTTTGATTATGCTCTGCAGGTGCAGTGTTGGTTCGTTATGACAAGTGGCTGTGTGGAAGATGTCCACCCTTTCTGCGACTGATATCACAGATGTTGGTCATGGTAAGATTCTAGTTTTTTTTAAACTACTGTACAATAGAAAAGTTTTCACATACAAACAAAAATATATATGAATGTCATCACATTTGATGGTAAAATATCAAACAAAATGTCCTGTTTTTCTTAAAAAAAAAATCTTATTGTAAAACATTTCAAGAAAGGTATACTTCATTTATTTATCCACTAAAGTCCCTTTGACCCGCCATTGGTTTTGGAATGATTAATGACACCGTCTTCAGTTATTTGCGACAAACTTTATATATTGCTTTGTGGGTAATTTAATATAATATAATATAATATAATATAATATAATATAATATAATATAATATAATATAATATAATATAATATAATATAATAATATAATATAATATAATATAATATAATATAATATAATAATATAATATAATATAATATAATATAATATAATATAATATAATATAATATAATATAATATAATATAATATAATATAATATAATATAATATAATATAATATAATAATTCTATTATTTTGTATTATAAAATATTGTATTATTTTTGAAAAGGTATTGAGGAGAATTAATATGTGTATATGTATGTAATTTTTAAAGTTTTTTTGTGTGATGTGAATATAAAACAATCTATTGACAAACAAAATGGAAAACAAAAGAATGTCTGATGCAAATACTTTAGAGCTGGGTTTAAATTATAGGTGTCTTGCTTTGAATGTAGAATGAATCCACAATACTGAAGCACAAGTCATGATTTTCCACTTAATTTTCAGAAACATTAAAGTGTAAACCGTTGATGAGATAAATGTTGCAGGTCTAAAAAAACTAGAAATAAGGATGCTGCAATTTGAGGCCAAAATGACTGATGTAAGAACTGAAATAATATGATTGAGAAAGCAAGATTCTTCCTCCAGACTGGGTATCGATACAAATGTCCCTGTTCAGTTAAATTCTGCTTAGGCATGGAACGATAACCGTTTTCATGGTATACTGCGATTTGAAAAAGTCAAGGTTTTAAAAACGGCTAAATTTTCTTCTATACCATTCCTAAGATACAAGTAAGATTTTTTTATAAAGTCAATGGTTCATTTGAATTATTTAGCCTGACATGTTTACTGTTCTAAAATATTTTAAATATTTCTCAAAATAAAATATATTGTTTTCAAAGGGGAAAAAAGTTTAAGTTTTTTACCCAGACATTTAAAAGAACATATTTTAGAGCAGTAATCACTATTCCAGGAAACCATGATATTTTTATCCAAGGTTATCATACCGTTAGAATCTTATACCGGCCATCCCTAATTCTGATTTACAAGCACTTATATTGATTGCATGAACTTTTGATTCGACACTTGATGTTTTTTTTCTATCCAGTAAATATAGATTTAATACAAATGTTACTTAGATCTGTATATTAAACTGTTCTTTTTTTTTCATTTCAAATGCATCGGTGTAGTCAGAATTTGGAGTACACTATATGAAATACGAAAATAGTTTTTGCTCTTGCGTGTTAATTTTTGTTAATTAATACAGTTATGTCAGTATTTTATATTATGTGTGTTGGATGATTGTATGTTGTGTAACAGTCACAGTGATTTGTCATTAGAACGAAAAATAATTATAATCTATGTTTAATTTAGCCACGGACTTTCTATATTCTAATTTCAGCATCCAAAACACAGCTTGTGATATGAGCAAAAGTCATCCATCTGTGTAAATAGCTATATAAAACAAATATTCTGGGGAATAGAAATGAAAAACAAGTATATTTGAGTCATCTGAAACATGCTGTAGCTTTCATTCGAGACTCTCATAATGCATTTGACATTGAGCCTACAAAACGTGCCAAATTTAGATCGATGCTGTACGAGAGAGACGTGTCTGTTTTTATACATCTCATTTCCCCACGCACAACTAGTTTCAGGTTCACTTGAAGTAAATTTAGGCTTAACGTTTATACTGAATGCCACTAGATTTTCTTTGTGTTTTATACTTATGCTTTTCATTTATTTTGTATGTTTTCTATTGTGAATGCATTTAAATTTTAATTCTTGAGGGAAACATTAATTATTTTAGAAACATGTTTCCCTCAATTTAAAATTTAAATGTACTAATGAATAAATGAAGTGTTTGTTTTATTTAGACTACTTATTGCTAGGGCTAAACTTGATCTGCGGACGTTTTTTGCTATTTCTGCTGAGAATTTTGCTAAAAATCTGAGGATTTCTGTGGATATATTTTGGGAGTATCATAACTAAAACCTTAATATGTGAAATAAAAAATAAACTTTTTAACTTTTATTTAATGTTTAAAATGCAAATCCAATTACATTTATTTTATTTGGTAAACAAAGCAAGTCTTTCATATAATATATCTACTAAAACACAGAAAATATTACTTTACAAACTGTATTGTGCATAAATCAGATGAACATTTTCATATTAGTCAATAATTTTACTTAAATTAATAAAAAAACTGAATAAATATAGATTTACACACATTTATTCAAGTAAATAAACAGAATTAATGATGGGCTAAAAATCTGTGGATTTATGCGCGCGCAGATTCCGTGTGGGGCTACTTATTGCCTATTTTGCATTTTAATTTACAAATGTGACTCCTTCTGTTCTGAACTTGTCTGTTTTGTTTAGTTTTTTTCCATCTCAACTGTGCGACTTATGTTCCACAAAGTGCACTTTTTACTCAGCTAGTCTAGTTGTTGATCATCAGGTGTGTGTGTGTACAGGGGACTCTCTGGGCTGTGACAGTGAAGAGGGCCCTTCAGCAGCGATGGCAGAAGTGAAACAGGAGATTCTCAGTCAAACGGACTTGTACAACACATCGCACGATGACCTGAACGACTCCATGCTCATGGAATCCAACGACATCAAGATGTTCTTCCGAGAGGACAAAGCTGCGCCAGGTGAGACTGAACAACTAGACCCATGGCTTAGATAATGTTCTTTCCATTATCTGCATCATTTTACAGTATAGTCAGCGTATAATTCAGAGTTGAACTTTACCTATTGCATAAGGTGCAACACGTGACTTTACTCAAGTATGAACATGCATGTCATTATGAGTGTGTGTGTGTATACTGTAAATGTGTGGATGAACAGGTCTAACTGGTTAAAGGTATAGTTTACCCTCAAAATGGAAATTTACTCACTGTGAAGTTGTTGAAGGTTTTGTGAAGTGCTTTGAAATGTGCATTTTTTATTTAATGTTTGATGTAATCTCAGCTGAAAAATGAAGAGAGGGTGGGACATAGAGTAGCTTCTCCCCTTTTAAAAAAACACCCAATAGCATTTGGTTTTTATCACAGCTCGTCCAGTGAGAATGGTTTAGCTTAAGCGCATCAAATGAAAAGCAAATGAGAACCCTCTTGAGGGGGGCGGGACATGTCAGATACTAAAGAGCATTTGATTGGTCAAGATTTCATGAGAAACTAAAGTATGAGGTCACGTGGAAAAAATTGTTGATACATTAAGGTGGCAAACTGCAAACTTTGGATGTTTATATCAGTTTTAGCTCTTACGTCATCTCCATGGCCATCATCTTTATGTCTGCGCGGACAACAACGATGTTATCATCCACTGTTTCTAGTTTTGGATTTTCCTCTTGTCTGCCATTACACTCTCTTCTTTACTAACGGCAGTACCCTATAAAATTATATTTTTGCCTTACTCCGCTTTCCTGAGCTGTTTTCCTTTGCCCTTTTTGCTTTTTTCCCCATCCATTATTAAATTCGATAAAGAAATAAGTTTCAATATTATTAACACTGGAATTAAACTCCAGAGTTAATGCTCTTCAGTAAGAAAGTAACTTGTTTATATCAGTTTTATATTTTCTAAATACCAGATTTGTTACTGTTTTGGATCATGTTAGCTAATAGATTTGCTTAAGACTAAAAGACTGAAACTAACATATAAAAATCTTTATTTAAATTTCATGGGACCTTTCAAAAAAGATGATGTCAGTGATAACATTTTGAAGAATGCTGGTTTATGGGACTTCTATGGTAGGATAAAAACTACTCTGGAAGTATATGGGGTTCTATCAACCAGCATTTTTCAAAATGTCTTATGTTGTTTAACAGAAAATAAACTCAAATAGCTTTTAAACAAGTGAAGGGTGAGTAAATGATGACAATTTTCTATTGAATTTTTGATGCCCATGGTTCCCACACTTCTTGAAAGTACTAGAAAATACTTGAATTGAAGACAAATGAATTCAAGGCCTGGAAAGTACTTCTAAACAAACAAAGGTCCTTGAAAAGTGCTTGAATATAAAGATTTTGGTGTTATTTCTACAGTGATTTTACTGTGCTGCTTTCAAAAACGGAATGAAAAAAACTAAGACATTCTTAATTTTAAAATCTTACATTTAAATCTTATGCAAGAACGATGACAAATAATGAACCTTTAATTACTATTTTAGAAATCACATTTCAATATTACCAGACTTGAATTCAATTAATTGTATTAAGTTTTTTGAACATGACTGCTAAAAACGGTCTACATTTATGAAAATTACACATTCAATGTAAAAATTAAGTGTTAGTGAAATTTGAAGTAAAGGGCAGCATAGTGGCGCTGTGGGTATCACGATTGCCTCACAACAAGAATGTCGCTGGTTCGAGCCTCGGCTAGGGCAGTTGACATTTCTGTGTGGAGTTTGCATGCTCTCCCCTTGTTCCCCAGGTGTTCTGGTTTCCCCCACAGTCCAAATACATGCGGTATAGGTGAATTGAATAAGCAAAATTGGCCGTAGCGTATATGTGTGAATGTAAAAGTCTATGGGTGTTTCCCCTTGTTCGGTTGCAGCTGAAAGGGCATCCGTTGTGTAAAACGTGCTGGATAAGTTGGTGGTTCATTCGGCTGTGGCAACCCCTTATTGATAAAGGTACTTAGCCAGGGGTGGGCAAACTCAGTCCTGGAGTGCCGGTGTCTTGCACAGTTTAGCTCCAACTCTAATCAAACACACCTGGTTATAGGTTTTTAGTGATCTTGAAGACACTGATTGGCATGTTCAGGTGTTTCTGGTTAGAGTTGGAGCTAAATTATGCAGGACACCGGCCCTCCAGGACCGAGTTTGCCCACCCCTGGGTGATATATGAATGAACGAAAGAATGAATGAATGAATGAACGAATAAATTAATGAATGACTGAGATGTAAGGTACTGGAAGACTTTCATGTTGCTATACAGTATATGATGGGGGTGTGAATTACAGAGGTGCTGGATTTAAAAATATTAGTGATTCAAAAAGTCCTTGAATTTGGTGTTCTTGAAAGAGTGGGAACCCTGGATGTCAACTATTCCTTTAAAACTGAATTTCATTTTTTGAGTGAACTATCCCTTTTAGTAAATACAATTGCAGTGTTTTTGGTGCATGATTTTACATATTTTTGCTTTGTAGTTATGTTTGTCTGTCTGTCCTGTGTTTTTATACAGAGGGTCAGCCAGTGAAGAGAAAGAAAGGTCCTGCACCTAAAATGCTGGGGAATGAGGTGTGTAGTGTATGTGGAGACAAAGCATCTGGCTTTCATTACAATGTGCTGAGCTGTGAGGGCTGTAAAGGTTTCTTCAGACGCAGCGTGATCAAGGGAGCGCAGTACTCCTGCAAGAACTCTGGCCGCTGCGAGATGGACATGTACATGCGCCGCAAGTGTCAGCAGTGCCGCCTGCGCAAGTGCAGGGAGGCAGGCATGTTGGAGCAATGTGAGTCACACTCTCCTCAAGCATCAGAGCCCATTTACAACACTGTCGGGGTTTTTGGAAGTCACTTTATGTTCACCAAGACTGTGTTTACTTGATCAAAACACAGTAAAGTGCT